AAAAAAAAAAAAAAAAAAAAAAAAATAGAAATTGAGATCAAAGATGTTGAGTCACCAGCCAGTGGCCACACAGCTTGTGAGTGGTACTAAGTGTGAATTCAGGGGCATCTCTTTCCAAGTATGTGTCCTCTCCACCTGACCTTCATCTCTAGTTCTGGGAGTTTTCAAAACTTACTGAGAACCAATTGATGAGAAAAGCAACAAATATACATAATATGAATGATGCCAATGATCATTTGGGAAATCCAGGTATTTCATAGACTCAGACCGAGTACAAACAAATGGTCTTATTTAAGCTGTTCTGTCTGATCTGTCATCTGGTAGCCTTATGGGCAGGGAATGCCATTGGTGCTTTCAAAGCCCTTGATTCAGCTTCTTGCATCCTTAACCATCTTCCCTTTGTCTTCCTGCCTTGTCCCCTCCCTCCTTCCCACTCTGCAGTGATCACTTCCTCCTCCACCCGGGAGTACACAGTGACTGAGCCGGAGCGAGAGGGGGCAGCTCCTTCCCGCGTCTACACTTACCAGTGGCGCCAGACAATCACCTTCCAGGAATGCGTCCACGATGACTCCCGCCCAGCCCTGCCCAGCACCCAGCAGCTCTCGGTGGACAGCGTGTTCGTCCTGTACAACCAGGAGGAGAGGATCCTGCGCTATGCTCTCAGCAACTCCATTGGGCCTGTGAGGGGTAAGGGGACACAGCTCATGCTGGGCACAGGTGCTCATGCATTTTTTAAAACCCCACTCTTTGACATTATTTTTGGTCTCTTACTCGCAGTCTATAGAAGAAAATTATGCTAAAATATCTTCTGGCAGGAAAAAAAAATGTCTTGTTATTTGTGATTCTTCGAAAAGCTGCCTGTCTGTTCTTCCAACCAAAGGCCTATTCATGATCCTATTTAGAGTAAAGTGCAGAATGCTAACCTGTTGAGGTGCCTTACAGAGTGGACCCTCTTAAGGCTACTGCTGGCATTGGCAGGGCTTTTAAAACCCTTTAATATTCAACCTTGAAAAAAATTGTAGGCCAGGTGCAGTGGCTCACGCCTGTCTTCCCAGCACTTTGGGAGGCTGAGGTGAGTGGATCACTTGAGGTCAGGAGTTCGAGACCAGCCTGGCCAACATGGTGAAACCCCCGTATCTACTAAAAATACAAAAATTAGCCAG